CCCCAAAACCCCAAAACCCCAAAACCCCAAAACCCCACTTTCATGATTTATACCATTATTAAAATTACTTAATCTCTTTGATATAAGCTGTGCAATAAGAGCCTCCAAGTAGGTCTTCAAGGTTATTAACTTTAGTGGGAAAAAGCCGTTCTTTAACCAAAATCTTATCCCCCTTCTGTGCGTCTAAGCTCTTAGAATCCTTTGTTTTAGACAGTGACTCTTGAATTGCTTCATTTGCAATTCTCATCACATCATTGCTAGATAGAGGATAGTTCTTGTATTTTCCGCTCTTCTCTAACTCTTCAATTGGGGTTACTTTCTTGGATACTCTCTTAGTGGCCAGGTTATATTTCCCATGCTTAGGAGGAGTCACAACATGGTTATGTAGGAGCTTGCAATCATGCATCTCATATTTGTTAATCACATCATTTTTGAAATAAATTAACTCAAATTGTCATCCCATCTCTGCCTTTGTGCATTGGAGCTTTAGCTCATTAGTATAAAGACATCTATAGAATTAAAATGAACATTTCTTACTTTGAGCTGGTCTCACACAGATTAAATCCTTTATTTTTTGCTATTTCTTTTGCTAAAATGTTGAATTTCAAGATCTTACCTTTCTTGATAACACTATCGAGTGCTTCTTCAGCAAAGTAGAACTCCCAGTCAATTGTTTGATACTGTGAATCATCGGCTTCCATAATTCTCTTCATGACCATCGGGCTGATCTCTTTCAGCTTAAGCTTCTCTCTGTTGTATTTGGAAGTAGGTCTAGTAGGATCGACCTTTTCTATCTTCTCTATATATCACAGGTGAAGTTTGTCCTCAGATATTCCTTTGAAGTGATCTTTTGCCTGAAAAACCTCCATCTCTCTGCAAGTGTATTCATCTTCTTCGAGTTCACCACCAGGTGACTCGAGTGGGAACACATTTGGCTTGATCCGCTTTGAAGGAGGATCTAGATTGAATTTCCTCACTTTTGAAGCGATATTAGGCCCGATTTCGAGTTTTTCAACTTCCTTATGGATCTGGTCTCTTGTCCAGGTCTTCCTACGGAGGATTTCATAATCTTTTTGGGTAAGAATTGTGAGGAAATCATTTGGCATAACAGCTTCTATATCCATGATGATGTCTGTCCGCTTCCAAAGAAGAATCGTGTGGTCTTTGGTCAATGAGAAGTTCTTGATAATCTCTGTCCTAAGCTCTTTTACTGATTGGCAATGATGCTTATCTATTAGGTATAAGAATGTTGGCGTCGAGGAGCTAATCCCAACTTCGAGAATTACCCTGAATCTCATTAAATCTGCATTTTCGGCAAAGAATCTGTCGTCAAAATCGTACATTCCAGAGAAATAACTTACAGAGAATTTCAATAGATTTATGCATGCAGGGGTTTTGGGGTTTTGGGGTTTTGGGGG